GGCCAGTATGGCACCTCTGGAGAGCAACACTCCATACATTTGCATCATGATTGCGGTTATCATCACATATTAAGATCTTATTACCAAGGTAATTTTGATTTAATTTTAACCTGCTGTGGCACACTGTGTTGCGATGCTTGTTCAAACTGCCAAGAAGTCTCTACTGGATCGCCCTCTAGCTGTAATGTCATGTCTCTGTTTTTTTCCCACATTTCTCATGTAACTTCCTCAATTTCTCTCCAGATTTTCAGTCACCCAGTCCATCTTCCTCTTAAACGTCCCCTACCTACCTGAAAAGGTAGCAGCAGAAGATGAGGCTGAGCATGAAGACGAAGAGGCCGATGCCCAGCACAATGACATACACATTGAGTGGGAGGTGATAGATGTCAGACGTCATGCTGCAGTAGTGTTCAGAGCGCTGAGAACCCAAACCACACAGGCATCCTGCCAGAAAGAGTTTGCAGATACAGAATATATACTTAACACGTGTTTAACGGTTACATAGCAGGGTTAAGAGTCCAGATTAACAGTTTAACTAATCTTCTTCCTCTATAATTTCTTAACGTAAATGAGTAACTTTTGAGTCATTTTGTGGGGCTATCATGATAGTTAACCCCAGAACCTTTTTATTTATAGGTCTCTGTATTTTAAGTTTGTTTACAGCCTCAGTCTGTTAAACTGCATTTTCTTCTTTAAAATAGCGTGCTGCTGAAAAAAACATAATCCAGTCTTGCAACTTCATTGTTTACTTTCCCATTATAAACGCCAAAGCTGCCCCAAGATCTACAGTATGCAGTCTAAATTGGTAGGAGAAACTTTAAATGCTGCCATTTGTACAGACAGTGTTTGAAAAGCAGTTCAACTCTCAAGATCTGTGAAAATCCTTTTCCTTTGTCAAAGAAAAAGTTAGCTATGCTTATTATTTTCAAGTAGTAAAAGCTGCATCTAAAATGCACAGTGAAGAGAAAGAGGAATCATGGCAGAGAGGTTGTTGATCATTAACTACGACATGAATCTACGGCACCACCACAGGCTTCTAGTGCCACCAGTATTTGGCTGCCAACAGACACAAAACCTGACCATATGCTTGCTTGACAATGAGTGTGTGACGCTCTGGCTCATCTCCACAGAATCAAGAATTTTACTGACAGTAAAATATTTGGTGAGGAGGAGTTCAGCGTAATAGTTGGTGTTTGTTTGGCTGCAGGTGTGTTGAGGGAGCTGCGACTGGCACTGTGGTGGCAACTGAGGCGCTCACAGGACTGTGCGTTAATTGGCTGTGAACAAGACAAACATGGAGGACAGACAGCACTTCCGCCACACCACCATCTGTTCCACAGACTCTATAGAGGTGACTGGTGGAGTGTGTGTGTGTGTGTGTGTGTGTGTGTGTGTGACAGCACTGGGGGATGGAAGGGTGGGGGTGTCTGTCTGCGTGTATTTGTAAGACAGCAGTGTGTGTGTTGCAGGTGGCAGGGGGTGGGGTATATTAAATAGGATGAACTCTGGGGACTAAAGGGCCATTTGGTAAAACAATAGCAGAGGAAGCCCCACTTCCATAGCCCACATGTGTTCCTATTAATTTGCAGCGGGGATGCTCTTTGCCAGTCCATGTGTCTCTCTTTAGAGTGAATGAATGGGTACAGCTTGCACACTGTGGGGGGTATGGGGTGGATAATTTGCCATGGCTGGGGGTTGGGGGATTTACAAGGGAGGTAGTGTAGGGAAGACCTAGGGTAGCATAATGAGAGATGCAATTATGAACCAGGCATGGATGCGCTGCAGAATCAATCAACAGTAAACAAACAAGAATATTGAACAAGGCTAGAATATCTTCAGTTTTAGTTGTCATAGTTGTCAAACAAACATGACCTTGAATGTGGCTTATTGTAAGTGAAGCTTCCACTGTCTCAGTAATTTACCGTTTCACAAGTACATCCATTATGTGGATCCCATAATCTTGCAGCCAGCAACTTAGTACCTGAGTTTATGAGATACAAGTAAATACACGTGCTACTACCTCTTGTGTATTTGGCAGACGGCAGAAAAAAGATCCACTTACCGTTACACCATTGGAATGGTTGCATGAAATTTGACTCCCAGGGCAGCAGCAGTATATTCAGGCCCTTTCAGGAGAAGGCTGGAGCTCCAGACCCTGGATCTGTTTGGAGCCTGGATTCAGTCACCCCGAGCTGGATCGCTCTCTTGTTGGCTTGTGTCAGCTCCTCCAAAAACAACCATCAAGATTTTCAGATTTACTCAGATTCCACAAATCCTCTGGAGGTGCAGTTTTCGTTGGCTCAGCAGTCCGTGCTGCCCAGCATTCCCAAATCTGGATTAACCACTCCCTGTAAAGATTGGGAGATTTGGGACTGGGGTTTGGACCGGGACCGAAGACCTCATGTGCTCCTGGATCCCAGTGAGAATGATGTCATCACAAGAGAGAGAAGAAGAGACAAAGAAATCATGTTGAGAAGACATGATTGTTTTTCAGATGCCTCATACGATGTGTTATTCAGGAGTTGTTATTGTGAGAAGCTGAATCTCGTTCAGTCACAATGTCATAAACAACACAGGCTGCTTGGCAACAGGAAATACTTACATTTCCAACAGAGAAGGCCCTCTTTTGACTTCACTTTGCGTCTGCGGTGTCGTCCCCTCACCAAATTCGATGACAGCCGCCGTTCAAAATGACAGTCCTCGTCCAGTGAAGGTAATTATCTGGCATTAGTCTGTGCTTTGTCTTCCTCCCAAAGCTGCTTTTTTAACAGAGGATTTTCACAAGTCTCAACCCCCTCTCCTCTCCTCTGTTGTCTCCTCCTCCAGTCCTCTGATCTTGCAGTGGGTACTCCTCCTCAGTATAGAAGGCAAAGATGTGCTTCCCTGTAAAGCCCAAGCAAAGTGAGGACAGCTCCATGCAGTCAACAACAGTCCTCTAGCTTGGTTTGGTATTTTGCTGGTGTGTGTGTGTTTGTGTGTCAGTCAGTAGAGTGTGTTTTCTGTGGGCCGGGGAGGCCTGACCACCCAAACAGAGCTGCGGGACGGGATACACAGGTGGTCCCAAGAATGAACAGCGCTGCCTTGTCAGTCAGCAGAGCACGAAGGACGGGGCCGCACACAGACAGATAGGCATACACACACACACACACACACGCATTGCCATGGTTTAAGATAAGGAAGAAAAGAGAAATAGGGGGATGAGGTCTAAAAAGACAAAAAAGGTAAAAAATGAGAGGAATCTGAGAGGTACAATAAGAACAGAGAGAGAGAGAGATTTCATCTGAGGAGGCAGAAGCAGATGTGGAGGGAATCTGGGTAAATTCCTCGATGTAAAGCTCGGCAAGCGGTGGAAAGAGCTACAGAGAGAAAGAGAGACGAAGGTCAACCTCCTCATTAATCCAGATTAAATGGCGAAGGCCACCAGGGCGGGCGAGAAGAAGCAAAGAAAGGATGAAGTGATATATATGGATAGAGGAAGGGGAACACCTGGGTCCCTCAACCCGACTCAGGGCCACCCAAACAGACAGGAACCTCCGCCCGCTTCCCTTTCTTCTCTCATCATTCTTCTTATTCTTTTCCCCTCTGCCATCTTCAATTTCCCCATTGTTTCCACTTGAATATTCATCTTCCTCTCCCTCTGTCACCTCTGACCTCTCCCCTTCATATCTGTTCATCACCTCCTTATGCACGCTGTTATTTAAATGCTTCTACCATCCTTGCACCTCCTCTTTTCCTCATCAACAGCACTATTTTTAGCTTCTCCAAGGTAATAATAAGGGCAAAGCAGTTATATGAGCAACAATAAATCCATGTGTGGAGTAATCCTTTTACAATATAGTACCCTGTGCAGAAAATGGAAGACTTATGTATGCTAATGGCAGGAAAAACAAGAGTTTAGGTGTGAAAGCACCAGTGAATATGTTCTTTGTCCAATTTTCTGGATGACTAAGTGATAAATGAAGTAGGATAAATTCCTGTAGTGCCATGCTACAAAGGTCTGGATGACTTTTGACCCTGACATGACATGGCCTACTATCCTAGGACTAGTAGCTGTGTATGGGTTGTAGGGCTGCCTTTTGTCTGTCTCATATGGGAGTATTTATGCTCCTTCGGGGAGGTGAGGGTCTGACAGTTTCAATGTGTTTGAAGGAGAAGCAGAAGGGTCGGAGTTTTGGTTGGACATTAATTTAAGCAAATTTTACCACCAGATTTAAAATGTAGAATAACTGATATTATTGTAAAAACATTGTATAAAAGTGAACGTCGGGAAAGTTCTGACGTATTGCGGTTAATGGCATGAGAGTATGCGTTTGTGTGTGTCCGGCCAAGCAGCTGGGGGATTAGGGGGTCCACGGGCCTCAGTGACCCATAGGGAGTTCCTCATTCCTGGGTCACACAGCTGGCTTCAGCCTGGTTGGAATATGGAGGGAAGTGAATGTGTTTAGTCTGTTTGCGTTTCTGCGGGCCTTTGCTTAACCACGATGTCCAGCAATATTTGAATTTTGCATTAATTAGGATTTAATTTAGCGGCTCCAAGTAAAACATTTCCAGCATGCGACTAAGAGAGCGAGCCAGAAGAAGAGTGCATGGTTGCGTTTGTATATTCGGAGTGTCAGAACGAGATCTCTTGTTTACTTGTGAACTTACGTAACTTTGTCGGTAAGTGTGCTGCGTTCCATATGAGTATGGGAAAGAAAGAGGGAGGGTGAGCAGGAGAAAGAAATACAAACACAACGGCTAAATAAAGGTAAAACAGAAGTTACAGTTCTCCCTAATTATTAACAGACATGTAAAAGATCAAGTAGTGTTCTGGTTTACCCGTCTTCCACCAAAAACATAAGTGAGCTACAGTTTCCCGAGGACAGGGTGGAAATTTCCTCCAGAGCTGTTGCTTTTGACTTACAAAAAACATGCCAAACATGGCAGATTCCTGCAGGAATAAAACTGTTGGTAATGACAATTAAAGGAGCTCCGCCAGCACGGCTAATCTATCTTGAAAAGCGCTTATGACAACAAGACACATGCAGACAGTAGGTGTGTTTTCATTCAGCTGTCAAGTGAGTTTAAAGCACACTTCTGAAATGTCAGGAATAAAAAACACATATGCAAATGAGATGTTTCCATGAGGGACGTTGAAACAAATAAATAGGTTTGAATTAATGTCACAGCAAGAAAATGAAAAGACTGTCAAGACTGAATTAGTACTTGGTATGTTGTTATTTTTCTCTCTGTTATTATTTAAAGTACTAGTGATATTGTAATACAGCTATCATTGATAAAGCTGCTATTTGCTGCAATGTAGACACAGACATGGGAGTGACAGTAGGTATGACATTACCAGGAAAAGGTAATTTACAGATAACGTTTCACGGAGCGCAAAGCCAGTTTTGATCTGTTTTGCAATGACATGGAACCATTTGTCTACATCAAATGCATTTCCATCCCTATTTATCATTTCTTTACATACTTTTTTTATCTGAGCAAATATATAAACCTTTTAGGATACAGTGGAAATGTTATTGAATGTTTCTGTTTCCATTTTCTCCTTAAATTTGATCTATTCATAGATTCAAGAAAATGGAGACAGTGAAAAGAAAGGGAAAGATAGAGGGAACAGAAAAAAAGACCCTGTGTTGAAAAAGATGAGCCATGTTGAGCAGGAGACAGGCAGAGAGACAGATGCAGACACCCGTCTGTCCTTCTGAGGTCTATATAGAGCAGCAGCGCAGGGTGTGATGTGAACCACAGGGACCAACTAGAGTGGAAAGCTGTAATGACACGCCGTGTAATACATCTGACTCACACTTCGAGAACATCAGCACCATATACCACACTCCCAACCACCCTCTGAGAGTGTGTGTCTGTGTGTGTGTGTGGTGAGAGCAAATGACAGACTGAATATTACATCCATATTTATATGCATGTGAATGTGAGTTGGGAGTATATATGATTACATACTTACCGGAGAAAGGAAAATGTGTGTGTGTGTGCGTGACCATCTGGGACTGTGAGTGTGTGTGCTGCCATTTAGCCAGAACCTTCCGCCTTATGACAGTGAAGAATTTGTGTGTATGGTGGTAGCATGGGGAATTGGGGGAGGTGGGGGTTACCCTGCACCTGCCCCTAGGAAACGGAAGGAGGAAATTAGTAACCCCCCCTCCCAACTCCCAGTCCCTTATTAGACCCCCGCACTCACTATCCTGGTCCAGCAAATACCTCCAGTCCTAAACAGCTGGAAAACAACCATGTGTCTCTGTCAGACGTGCTCAAAAACACTACAAAATATGATTATATTTGGGAGAAGACTGTGGGGTAAGCTCTGATATTTGCCATTCACATTTTACATTCAAACCTTTAAAACTAAGCTATATAATTATGGTTTATTAATTATTTTGCTTGAATTTTCCAAATATTTTAAGTAAAACTGATATTATGTAAAGAACTACAGTCACATCCAACCCGAAATCACGGCCAAGAGTCTCCTACATGGTGGCCCGCTGTGCCAGTGTCAAGTTTTGCCTCGCCTACATGTGGCAGTTTTCAACACGTTCTAATTCCGTTGGCAAGTTAGCAATAATAAATATGCAACGTCGGGTTACACTTTCAAAATAAAGCTTGCTGAAGTCGCAGTTTGGTTAGGTTTAGGCAACAAAATTACTTGGTTTGGTTTAGGAAAAGATATAAAAGAAACTTAAATTAACTTACATATGTTGCTTAAAATAATAAATAACATATGTGACTAGTGGTCTCCTGGGTGAAAGTCCGGTTTTTGTTTGACCCAACCTGTCTAGCGAGGCATGGCTTGAGCTGCCCCATCTCACAGACCAGGAAAGTGACCAAAAGTAATACTTCAACAGTCTATATTGTAGCATAAGGCTCTTTAAAATCACTTATTTTATTATATATAAATATATTTATATATACATATACATATATATTACAGAAAAGAACAAGAACTATAAATACGATGGATTCAAGGAAATCGATGCCTGAAAATCTGCAGTGTAGAGTTGGTTGAGTTAAGATTCAGGAGATAATTAGATGATCATACAAAGAAATGTTATTTAAAGTTTTTGTTTTTTTTAAACTTTTCTTTATTAATTTTTTGTGCTGTAAGTAAACTCTTAAATGTGGGGAGAAATAAACAAGCACCAATTGGAGCTTTGGAGGCAGCTAACTGCATTCTACTCTATACATTATTTTTTGCATACTGCTACTCACCTGATCTACCTTCTGTTTAAAGTTTAAGGATGTTTGTATGTATGTTTGTCGTATTTTGTTCACATACATAAATAATTAGTGCAAATGTTAGACATTTAGCTGCACTCACCAAAATTACATTTGCAAATTTAATATATTAATGCCCTGATTGCAAAGATGAAGAGAACATACAGATGCATATGTAAGCACATCTGCCAGTTATGCGCTCACCTGTTAGTCAACTCGCGAGGAACAGACATGCATTGCATGCAAAATACATTAATTGCTTGGCAAAAAACAGCTGCTCCACCTCACTGCCAAACACTCCCACGCACACAGTCATATGCATGCACACACTTTTCTGGGTAGAATGTTTAATGTGTCGTAATTTGCTTAGGTATCAGTTGTTGCAGAAAGATTTGCTCGAAAAGCACGCATTTACTGTATTCAATCTGCAGTTTAAGGCAGTGAAACCACTGTCCATGCCTTCTAGATGATAAGTTGCCAAAACACGTCCTCTGGTCGGAGGAGAGTGTGGCCATCAATTACTGTAAAAATTGTTTATTTAAAAGATGTAATACAGTACATTTAGCGAGTTGACATATTCATTAGTGTATGATGCATTCTCCAGATTCTCTAAATTCATCCTTGTCCAAACCCTGCACACACACATGCATACACACACAAAGTCAGAGCGCTAA